TTATAATAAATAATTAGATACACAAAAGTATTAAGACAATAGTAGGCATATAGTGATATACATATTGTAGCAGGCACACCTATTAATATAAAATATTTTGTATCATTTATTTTCATAAAAACTAATGATGCATATGAGAAACAACTAACAAGTGAAATTTAATTTAAAATTATTGCTAGCTTAAATGATTTTTTAATTATGAGTGCCAGTTTGATAACTATTATCTGGTCATTGATCTTGATACTTTTGGGTATCTAATTATTTATTATAAAATAGTTTCACTTTATTTAACATACAAATTAAATTTAATTAATATTATAATCAAGCAACGTTTGCACAAATATTCAAATGCTTATTATTTTAAGAATTATTTTTTTATTACGAAAACTATACGAGAATTGAATGCAATTTATGTGGAAATCAATGAATATAACAGTCATTATTGGTCCAAATATTTATGCATATTTTGGTTTAATTTGTCCACGTTAATAGCTACCTTGTTATTTTTACTTATATTTCTTAAAATCAATTTAATTGTAAGAATTCCAATATTTTATTCCGCTTTGATATTTTTAATAATCTTATTATATATAATAAATAAATCTTCAAAACTATATAAATGTGCGAATAATACTTATATTGTATTCAATTCATACATATCTCATACAAAACATATACCACTCAGAAGTAAATTAAAGGTATGGTCTCTCTCACTCCCTCCCTCCCTCTCTCTCTCTCTCTCACTCACTCACTCTCTCACACACACACTCACTCACACTCACTCACACACTCACTCACACACACACACACATTCAATAATTAATAATTATATTATAAATTTAAAACAGATATCAAACACAATGGAGAGAATTGCTGTTAGAAAAGTGGGATTTTGGTGCTGGAGGCTATTTATAATTAACAGTTTCCAAGGGTATAAAGTAAGTACATTTTATTTAAGATAATTTGATTTTAAAAATATTTTTATTTTAGATCTTATCATTCATCATGTTACTTTTTATAAAACTTTGCAAAAATCGTTAAAACTTAATTGTCCAACATTCCTTGGCTACAATATTTTTATCAAGTTTTTTAAAAATTCTTATTTATATCTCAAGGTAATTAAATTGCCTTATACAACTTTTTAAATTATCATATTTTATTTTATACTATCGTAGTAGTCAATAAATTACTTATTGCTGTAATGTTTTTAATTATTATTATTACTATACTCATTATTATAACTTAAATATACTATTTAATATAACAATATTACAATTATTAATTTGTCACTTTTAAAATTGTATTTAACCGGTGTTAAAATTACTTATCCTGTAATATTATAGATGAATTAAAAATTTTAAAAACTTTTTATTGAACAGCTAACGTGTGTTTTGATTAAACTAACATGATTAGATATAATGTACCAGTACATTATAACAGCATATATTGTGCAAACGTAATAAAGTTCTGACATATCCTTGAAATCTATTTGCTATTTACTGTATATAAACAAAATATTTAAAAAATAATACTAAATAGTATAAAAATATTTTTCAAAAAGTATTGTAAAAGTAATTATTTTTATTCAACAAAATAAATTATCCAGATACAAATACACATTTTTAAATAAATGGCTATTAAAGTGTATGGTTTCAAGTTTAGCTCATTTTGTCGGTCGGTGTTAATGACTGCCAAACATTTAAATATCAAGGTCGAACTGGTAGTAACTGATCCTGGTCAGAATCAACAGTTTACATCGGAATTTCTGGCGGTAAGTGTAATATAATTTACAAAGTAGCATGATCAATATATTAATCAATGAGTAGGTTAAAATTTAAGCTATATTTCCGTTCATAAACAGCTAAACCCGGCTCACAGTCTGCCCACCATTGATGACAACGGGTTTATACTATGGGAGAGTCGGGCGATAATGGCCTACCTGTGCAACGAGTACGGAGGCGCTGACTGTCCCTTATATCCCAGAGACCCGCAAAAGCGGGCGCTTATCGACCGGTGGCTCAACTTTGACGCCACGCTAATGGAGTCATCGAAAGCGGGTTTTGTATGTTTAGCTCATATATGATATAAAAATAACAAAATAATTGTTTTTGCTTTGCTTTCATATGACTGTTATTAATGATAAACAGTAATTTTAAAGCAAAGTAAAAACCATTATTTTGTTATTTTCTTATAAATATTAATAGGGGTCACTCATTGAGTATGTACGCAAATTTCAAATCTAAATTATCACTTCCCTGCTTAACCAGTAAATCCACAATAGTTTAATATGTGAACACTGGCCATGCTTTACCCGACCCTGTTATATTTTTGTACTTATTGAATGACCCCTTATCATGTGTTCGCAAATTTTAAAATATATATCAAAATTTGTATAATTATATTATTAGAAACAGAAACTATACACAGGGGTCGACCCACCGGCCGATAAGGTGCTGGCATTCAAGGGTCACCTAAAACTGATGGACCAATTGATCGCTAATAACCGATACCTGACTGGTGCTAATCACGTGACTATAGCCGACCTGTCCCTGGTGTCCAATTTGGGAAACTTAGTCAATGCTGATAAGGACAGGACGGGTATAGATATGGCTGAATATCCTAACATCGGGCGCTGGTATTCGGGGTTGACTCAAGAGTTACCCTATTTTCAGGAGATTAATGCCATACCACAGGAGGAACGTAAGACATGGGTGGCTAATAGTATGGGGTATCTGAGCAAAAGGTGCAAGTGAATTTGATTATACTAGTTATTTGTAGCAAGGTTCACTGTTAATAAAAATATGTTATTAAAATGAATGAACTAGTAATGTTTCATAAATATTTTTATTAAAACATTGAATTACAGTTTATAATGAATATCAACTTGTG